CTGTTAATGTACAGAACTCATAAAGGTGTATTACCTTCCAACATTCAAGTAAATTTTGTTAAAAGACAGAGCTGTTATTATCTTTAATCCAGGGAATAAGATTATGGAACAGCCTGGAAGATGAGGTTAAAAATGACAGATATTTGTATATATTGAAGAGAATGATAAAATCTAGTTTTCTGAAGAAATATGAAGCATAAGTGATTTCATGCTAACTGTTGTTTGACTTGGTGTTTTAAATTTTGTTTTTAGTAATTCTAAGTGTTTTAAGTTGTTTTGATTTATTTTTGTTATAAAAAAGGGAGCATCTTCTGCTGCTTTTCATTTTGTTTGATTTTATTGTGACTGCATGTTTTTTGTACTTTGTTTATTTGTGTTACAAATGAAATGAATAAAGTGAAGTGTTTCAGTAAGTTCTGGTTGATTTCCTGTCATCGGAGGGCAGTAGTGCCTCAGCAGGARACAGACCGGTTCCTCTCTTGCCTCCAAAGCTTTCTCCGATGACAGATTTTATTCTGGGCCAACTGAATGCTTGTTTCTATTTTTACTGCAACGAAACGGCTCTCTAGTTTCCATGGAGCCCACAGAAAGACATCTGGGCTGCATAGATGACTGGGCACAGCTAACACAGATCAGCATCACTGAGAATTTGATCTAAGACATTCGTTGTTTGAAATTTCACCCAATAAACTGACAAAACTCATTTTTTAAAGAAATCTCTCTTCTGAGATGCATTGAAAACCAACAGTGGTGCATACTTTTACACTACATTTGATGTGACTCTAAAGCGAGTTTGACGCCATCCTAAAACAGAATTTCAGTCTGATCCTAACATGACACATACGTCACTTAGCTGCTTGGCGTTGATGCTGGCTTGAACAAGAACTGGCGAATCATCAACCTGCGTGAACTTCACCGTGTCTGGGTGTTGCCTGTAAACTTTCTGAAACCATACAATTCAAAAAAAGTGTTACAAGTACAAGTATTCAAACAGAAATACTGATACTATGATTAAATTCCGTTGTACTGAAGCCGTTTCCTGGTTCTAACCACTCACATCACTGCATTGCTGAAGCTTCTTTGTAGCTTCATACTCAGGGGTAACCGTTTGAGGAAAGAAGCATCTAGTTTTTATGTCTTCATAATCCGCCTTATATAATTGCTGTGAGAAAAAATATAAATATAAATAAATATAAAGTATATTTAACAATTCTAATTTCATAATGTACATAAACTGTATTTACCTCGTTTTTCATTTCTTCAATTTTCTGGCAGTGAAGCATGTAGAGGTCTTCATAGCTGCCAATGTAATGGCCCTTCACCTCACTCTCATACTTTCCTTTGTAACGTACCTGAAAAATAATAATAAAAAAAGTGTGAATTTAGAAAAATGAATGTGTTTCATGAAAGCTAATGTTTGAATGAATCACATGTTCTTACATCAGAGAACTGTTTAAGGACTGAGTCCATCTGAAACTTTGGAGTATCACAGTAGTTGATGCTGAAGCCTCTGGATTTCTCATAGCTGGCCTTGTACACTTTCTGCAAAATAAATAAACGATGTGAGGAAAAGAAATCACAAAATGTTGGACAACAACTGAAATCTGTGTTAGCAGTTTAGAAATAAAGTTTATGAGAAGCTGCTTTTAGTTCATTCTAAAATAACTCATTACGTTTACTGAAATGACAATCGATTTGACAACAATGCATTCCTTGTACATCTAATAAATGCTGTGAACGTGTTTAAAGGCATTCTCTGACTTTATAAATAAAACCTTTTTCTGTAGCTTCGAAGTGTCTGTGTCTGCTCAATGTTTATTTTATAATAGTTTAAGAAAAATCAACAATCTGGGTCCACTAATCTTAAATATGTTTTGCCAGAACAAGAGCTGGCAGTGCTGGGATTTCTGGCTTCATTTTTTTTACCTAAGCAAAGACAAATATTATTATTTTTTTTCTTTGTCTTTGTCTGTGTGTGTGTGTGTGTGTGTGTGTGTGTGTGTGTGTGTGTGT